ACAAGAAGAACAAAAAAGACCCTTCACAGCACAATCGGCAGAGTAAGCAAGGAGCCGTGGCCGAAGCAAAGCCAAGGAGAGCCTCAGCGCGCAGACACGAGCGTGTTCGGAGCATCGTCGGACGAGACACGCACACCACTCGCATCCACGCGGATCCCACCGGCATTAACGGAGAGGTGGGAAGGAGCCGCTGCAAGTACGGCGTGAGACAGGAGCGGCGACAGGCGACCGAAGGCACAGACCGCCGCCAGTCGCAGCCGTGAGCGAGGCAGCAGCAGCAGCAGCAGCACACGCGAAGGGGCAGGAGAGAAAGCGGCGTGGGGCCAGACCCGCGGAGAAAGCGAATCAGAGAGAGAGTGAGTAGAAGAGGGGAGAGTGCAAGCCGCGGCAGGGAGATTGGGAGTGTCAGGAAGAACAGAAGGGGAGGCGAAGCCAGTCTGTATACCACAGGATCCAAGAGCGGACCGCAAGGTAGTCTGTGAGTGCACATCTGTCTCCGGAAGCAGCAACAGTAAAGAAACACAAAAAAAATCTGAAAAACAAATCAGCAGCGAAGAGAGATTAACGTCAAACGCGTTCAACGTGGACAGCAAGGGAAATTTCTCAGAGAAGTCACTATACAAGGCCCTCGTTGCAGCCCTTCCGTGCGCAAGGCAGTGAGGATCCATGAGCGACTTTGACTACGAGCGTCTCTTCCGCCCGCAGCGGGAGGATGATGGTGAGCTGCGACGCATCACGGAGGACTTCCAGCGACAAATGAAGTTCATGGACGACGAGGATGAGGAGGAGATGAATAACCCGGGTGTTACCCCGCCGCGCCCTCCACCCCTCTCGAGCTCGACAGCAGGAGCCACCGCGACGAGTGACACCAACACGAACGGCACCACGGAGTCACAGCAGCGGAACGGGGCGAAGGAGTCCAGGGCGGGTGCCACGTCCCCTCGCATCCCGCAGCGGGCGTCGCGGGCGGCTGAGCCGGTGGAGGGGCAAAGTTTCACAAGCAGCCCCTCCCGCGGACACCAACAGCTGACGTCAAGTGGCGCACAGACGCCCACGCAAACCTCAAACGAAAATTCTACCACCCGGTTGCCGGGGTCCGTCGCTGCCGCGTCGGGGGTTACCAGTGAAGCCAGCGGCCCGAAGACGACCCCGGTGTTGGTTCCGGACGCGCTTCCCAAGCCGTTGCCGCCGTATTTGCATCAGGAGGAGTGCCCCCCGCCGTACGGGTGGGTGAACGGCGCGCAGGCGAAGCAGCCGCTGGGGGTGACGGCGATGTCCCCGGGTGTTCCTGTGCAAAATGTCCGCGCCGTTTCTTCCACGCTTCAGCCGTCGCAGGTGCCGTTTGCGGCGTTTGCCCCGGAATCTCAGACGCTTGCGGCGACTGGGTTTCCTTTTGGCTTACAAGCACGTTCAATGATGCTGCAACCGCAGCCGCAACAGCCGCCACCGCCACCGCCACCACCGCCACCGCCGCCGCCACCGCCGCCGCCGCCACCGCCGCCGCCGCAGCAGCAGCAGCCACCCCATCAGGCGCAGCAGCAATCGGCGTCAGGCGCTGCCGTAGCACAGCATTTTAACATGAGCCAACAGTCACCAGTGCTACCACCGCATATATCGCCTGCGGCCGGGGCGGCAATTCCACAGGCTCAACATGCTTCGCAGGCCCAGACGCAGTATGTGACAGGAAGTGTTCCACCGGGGTATGCGCAGGTATTAGTGCCTGTTCGGACGGCGGATGGAACGACGGGCTACCAGCTAATGATGATGTCGGCGCAACACATCTCCCAGGGGACCAACGGTTTCTCTCCCCAGCTCGTGCAAGCGCAGCTGGAAAAGGCGCAATTACAAATGCAGCCACAGCAGCAACCAACACCACAGCAACCACAAGCAATGATGCAATACATGTGGCATCCACCCCCACAGGCGCAGAATCAACAACAGCAACCGCAGCAGCCGCAGCAGCAGCAGCAGCAGCAACAGCAACAACAAATAGGCGCAATACCACAGCAGTTCCTCACACCACAATACACCAACCTTGCCTCGGCACCGCAGCGCTATGCGCTTGTTTCTGCAAACGGTCAACAACAGTATATTATGGCATTGGCTATGAATCCCCTTCAACAGTTTCAGCAGCAGCAGCAACAACAACAACAGCAGCAGCAGCAGTTTCAGCAGCATTCTCAGCAGTTCCAGCAACAACCACAGGCTGCAAGACCCGTGTATCTCACAAGCCAACAGCCGCAACCGATGTTTACCACCTCAATGCTTCCTTCGGGAATGCCACCTGGGTATCGATTCAATTAACACCTAGTGCTTGGTAGAAAAAAAAACGAAACTGACAGACAACCACAGTTAAAGGTGATATTCTCCGTAAACGCGGAAGCCAGTCTTGTGGATGTAACTTTGGTTGCAAACGGGGGAGGGGTGTGAGCAAGGAAATAGCCTCTTGTAGCTGCATGTGTGTGTTTCTATATATATGTGCGTGTGTGCGTTTGAGTGTCTTTGAGTGCGTTTGTTGATACGACCTGGGTAAGTGGCAATAACGGGGCGAGGGGAAGGCCGGTTCACAACAGGGGGGAAAGGTGAACGGCCTCCTATGAGGGATCCGGGTGAGGCACCCAAAGAAGCGACGACTGGGAAGGTAATTACTGCGAAGGAAAAGGCGCCAGCGGATGAGCGAGGGAGGTATAACGATTACTGCGACGAACCACACCAGTCTCCTCGCGTATGCCGTTCCCCTGTGAAAAGGTGATGTGCACGCGGCTGGAGGAGTGTCTTGGGCAGACCCAAGCGACACCACCGGGAAGCGGCTGCACGTGGGAGGGAACGAGGGGTAGGGCGCGTAATCCCAGATACGATAAAGCTGCATAGCAAGACGAAAGCAGATGTCATTTTTCATTTTACTCCTGTCTCTCTGTGTATGCCCTTTTGCTCATTGAAGACCATTTCTCGTTGTCTTATCGCTGTGCGATTTTTTGCCTCCTTTGTTTTGTTTGCTTTGTTTTGTTTTGCGGTTTTTTCCCCTTCCTCCCCATCAGCGCATCGGCGCCGCACTGCCGTTGACGCGGGCCCGCGGCACCGGGAGGATGCGGGCAGAAGCGCGGGCGAGGGGGGCAGAGTCTTTATTTCGCTTAGTCTGTGTGTGTCGGTGCTGGTTGCCCCAAACCCGCCCACTACTAATACTGATTATGTGCGTAGTACACCAGAGTGAAGCCGAATCAAGGCGAAAAAAAGAAAAAGAAAAAAAACAACAACTTTATGTGGACGGCATGTCCTAAGAGTGTACGTCCACTGAGGCGATAAATTGCAGTATGATATCTTTCTATCTGTGTAACGTAAGTCGAGAAGTATCCTCATCCCTCGCATCAACTCTCAGCAACCGAGAAAAGCGAGAAATAGACAAAACAACAATAACAGCAGCAAAAGAATAAACACACACGTATCTTACTATGATATGTCCAAACGCACACATACATCTGCACTAAGATTAAAAGAACCAAGAACGGACTTGTGTTAATTCCTGGATCGAAGGATTTCCCTCTTAAAAGAAGATGCGGCATATATATATATATATGTGTCAATGTACATAAACAGAGGTGACGGGTGCGGCGTTGTGTTGCTGCATGAAAGTGTGGGTGAAACGTATGTCGAGGAAGAGAGAGGGACGTTTTCTGGATGTACGTGTGCGCTGGACGTTTGGATGTTGTGTCTTCAGCAGTAATTTTTTTTTTCTTTTTTCTTTGTCTTTTTTTCCGTTTTTTTTCGTTGTTTTTTGCTGACCCCTTTTTTTTGTTTTATCATTCATTCTGCGAGCTTTTTTTTGTCCTTTTTTTTAGTTTTCTTAACTTTGCCGGCTTATCTTCTCTCACTTTTTTGTTTTTGTTTTGTTTGTCTTCTTCTTTCTCATCATACGAGTTGCGCTTTGCGTCCTCGTTCAATCCGCGTCCCCTCCTTTTTTATTATTTCTTTGTGGATGCCATCTCCCTTGCCGGCTCCTCCCCTGTCTATCTCTCTCTCTCTCTCTATCTCTCTTCCTTTTCTTTCTTTTTTTCTTTTGGCTTTTTTATTGTTTTTGTTCCTTTCTTTTTCTTTTTTTCTTTTGATGTTGTTTCCGCCTGTTTTTGTTTTGTGTTGTTTTGTGTTTTTTTGTGTTGTTGCTGCTGCGGCCGCTGCTGCCGCTGCTGCTGCTGCGGGAAAAGGGGGAATTTGGTGCAAACATTTAAGTTAAAAAATAATACGACGAGCGTGCGGCGGACGAAGGGGGAAAAGCGGGGCGGCGATGGAGAACACGACGACGACGACGACCGGCTGAGCGGTGGGGGAAGGGAGCGGCGGAGGGGGAGGAGGGGAAAAGCCAGCGGCGGCGTGCCTCCACCCGCGCGCGCGCGAGAGAGCGAGAGCGAGAGAGCGAGAGAAGCAGTGTGGGGAAAAAAGGAAACAGCAACAACAACAAGAACCAAAAACTTAAAAAAAATAATCATACACGAACGAACAAAAAAGAAAACGAAAAGGAAAAAAAAGAATTACTACTCCGCAAAGTCGTCCCCTCCTCGTTTGCCCCTGTGGCTTTTGGACAACACTATTTCACTTGCTAGGTACCTGTGGAAAAAGAGTCTGCGGCCAGATGGAGCTAAACAGATGTTGGTACCTCTTCTTGAAGCTCCCCTTCTGTTTGCTTTTGTTGTTTGTTTATTGATTGACTGATTGTTGTTGTTTTTCCTTTTGGTTTGTTTTCAAACATGCCGTGGTTGAGAATTTCGCATGAGTGCTGTTCTTTTTTCTTTTTCTTCTGTTCCTTTCTCTCCCTTACTAACCCATCACTTATGCCCTTCACGCGGGAGGGGGGAGGGAGAGCCCCGGCGGTTGTGTCGGGGGCCTGAAAGACTGCCACTTCGCGAGTGCTCAAAGAGACTCGGTAGCGTAACGTAGACTTTTGGCTTGTTTGTTTGTTTTACTTGTACGTGGTCGGTGTCAGGTAAATCTCTTCTTAAGTGGGGGAGTGTCGGGGTCAGTGAACCAAACCGCCACGCCCCCCTTTGGTTTTGTTTTTGTCCTGTCTCTTCTGAGGGACGAAGGGAGAAGGCCTCCTTTAGGCGCATGCTTCCAAAATACAAATTACCTTTTTTTTTTTCTTGTCTTCTTTTGCGTTATGACTTTTTGTTTCTCACTTTCTCACTTATTTTACTCAACACGGCTTTGCTCGCATGGAGACGGGCCCAAACACGCAGTTTATATTAGAATTATAAAACAATTGATACGTATGTATGTCTTCTATTTCTTCTTCTTCTTCTTCTTCTTCTTTCCTTTTTTT